CTTAAACAAAGGAGACTACAATAGGATGTGGGGAGGAGTTGGCTAAAGTAGACTGGAAACAAAGACTTTGTGGTGGGACAGTTGAGGAACAGTGGAGGACTTTCAAAACAATGTTTCAAACTGCTCAGCAAAAGTATATACCAGTGAAAAGGAAGGACTGTAGAAAAAAGAATAATCAGCCATGGATGTCTAAGGAAACAAGGGAGGTCATCAAACTGAAAGATAAGGCATACAAAGCGGCAAAGAGCATTAGGAAACTGAAAGATTGGGAAAACTTCAAAGGTCAACGGAAAGCCACAAAATAATACTATAAAGTAAGATAGATTATGAGTGTGAACTAGCTCAGAATATAAAGACAGATAGCAAAAGTTCTTACAAATATATAAAACGAAAAGGAGGGGTGAAGGTAAACACCGGTCCGTTAGAGAATGAGAAGGGGGATTTAATAATGGGAAATCAGCAAACAGCTGAGGCATTGAACGGGTATTCTGTGTTGCTCTTCACAGTGGAGGACACAAACAACATGCCAGTAATTGAGGACAAGGAGACTAAGGGGAAGGTGCAAAAATGATCATTTATCACGAAAGAGGTAGCATTGGGCAAACTAATGGAATTACAGGTGGACAGGTGTCCTGGTCCTGATGGGATGCATCTCAGGGTACGAAAAGGGATAGCAGGAGAAACAGCAAATGCGTTCATGGTAATTTTCCAAAATTTGCTGGACTCTAGGGCAGTTTTAGCAGATTGAAAAACAGCAAATGTGATGCCACCGTTTAAAAAAGGAGGTAGACAAAAGATGGGAAATTATAGGCTGGTTAGCTTAACTTCTGCAGTGGGGAAAATGCTGGAATCTATCATCAAGAAAGAAATAGCAAGACATCCAGATAGAAATTGTCCCATTGGGCAGGTGCAGTATGGGTTCACGAAAGGCAGGTAATGTTTAACTAATTTACTGAAATTCTATGAAGACATTACGAATGTGCTGGACAATGGGGAGCCAGTAAATGTGGTTTATCGAGATTTCCAAAAGGCATTCGACAAGGTGCTGCACGAAAGACTGCTGCATAAGATACAGGTGCACAGCGTTTCATGCAATGTATTGGCATGGATCGAGGATTGGTTAACTAACAGGAATATCAGTCTGCAACATTATACAGAACCTGCACAAAATTTAGACATTGGTTAATAACTGGCAGAAAATATTTGCAAAACACAAGTGCCAGTCAATGACCACTGCCAATAAAAAGAAACTTAATTATTTCTCCATTCAACAGTATCACCATCAGTGAATCTAACACCACCATCTTCATGGCAGCATTCCATGAAGAGAACTTCATTAGACCAACACAATACACTGCATGTACAACAGCAGGTTAAACAGTGAGATTATCTGTGACAACCAAGTGTCCTTTAACAGTGCTAACTAACAACCAAACTAACAACTTCTATCATCTGGAAAAAGGGCAGCAGAATCATGGGAGGATCATCACCTGCACTTGTTCCTCCAAGTCCCAAAGCATCCTCACGTGAAACTGTAACACTGTCCCTTCATTGTATTTGAGTCAAATCCCTGCTACCCCCTCCCTAACAGGAGTGCGACTAAGGGGAAGAGTAGGCAGAGAGCAGATGATGAACGCAAAGGGACAGGTGGTCTGAGGTATATTTGTTTTAACGCAAGAAGTGTAGTAGGTAAGGCAGATGAACTTAGGACTTGGAATTGTACCTGGGAGTATGATGTTATTGCTATTACTGAGACTTGGTTGAGGGAAGGGCAAGATTGGCAACTAAATATCCCAGGATATAGATGCTTCAGGCGGGATAGAGAGGGAGGTAAAAGGGGTGGAGGAGTTGCATTACTGGTCAAAGAGGATATCACAGCTGTGCTGAAGGAAGGCACTATGGAGGCCTCGAGCAGTGAGGCAATATGGGCAGAGCACAGAAATAGGAAGGGTGCGGTAACAATATTGGGGCTGCACTGCAGGCCTCGCAACAGTGAGCGTGAGATAGAGCTACAAATATGTAGACAAATTATGGAAAGATGTAGGAGTAACAGCGTGGTAGTGATGGGAGATTTTAATAGGATGAATGTGGAAGCATTGGAAAGGGTGCAGAGGAGATTTACCAGGATGTTGCCTGGTATGGAGGGAAGGTCTTATGAGGAAAGGCTGAGGGTTTTGAGGCTGTTTTCGTTAGAGAGAAGAAGGTTAAGAGGTGACTTGATAGAGACATACAAGATGATCAGAGGATTAGATAGGGTGGACAGTGAGAGCCTTTTTCCTCGGATGGTGATGGCGAGCACGAGGGGACATAGCTTTAAATTGAGGGGTGATAGATATAGGACTGATGTCAGAGGTAGATTCTTTACTCAGAGAGTAGTAAGGGCGTGGAATGCCCTGCCTGCAACAGTAGTAGACTCGCCAACTTTAAGGGCATTTAAATGGTCAATGGATAAACATATGGATGATAATGGAATAGTGTAGGTTAGATGGGCTCCAGATTGGTTTCACAGGTCGGCGCAACATCGAGGGCCGAAGGGCCTGTACTGCGCTGTAACGTTCTATGTCTATGTCTATGGTGTTGGGGAATGAGCCCGGCCAGGTGGTTGAAGTTTCAGTAGAGGATTACTTTGGGAATAGCGATCACAATTCCGTAAGTTTTAGAATACTGATGGACAAACACGAGAGTGGTCCTAAAGGAAGAGTGCTGAATTGGGGGAAGGCCAACTATAGCAAAATTCAGCAGGAGCTGGGGAATGTGGATTGGGAGCAGCTGTTTAAGGGTAAATCCACATTTGATATGTGGGAGGCTTTAAAGAAAGGTTGATTAGAATGCAGGACAGACATGTCCCTGTGAAAATGAGGGATAGAAAGGGCAAGATGAGGGAACCATGGATGACATGTGATATTGTGAGACTAGCAAAGAGGAAAAAGGAAGCATACATAAGGTCTTGGCGACTGGAAGCAAACAAAGCTTTGGAAGAATATCGGGAAAGTAAGACCAATCTGAAACGAGGAATTAAGAGGGCTAAAAGGGGTCATGAAATATCTTTAGCAAACATGGTTAAGGAAAAACCCAAAGCCTTTTATTCATACATAAGGAGCAAGAGGGCAAAGAGAGAAAGGGTTGGCCCACTCAAGGACAAAGGAGAGAAGTTATGCGAGGAGTCAGAGATAATGAGTGAGATTCTTAATGAGTACTTTGCGTCGGTATTCACTGAGGAGAGGGACGTGATGGATGTTGAGGTTAGGGATAGATGTTTGATTACTCTAGGCCAAGTCAGCATAAGGAGGGGGGAAGTGTTGGGTATTCTAAAAGGAATTAGGGTGGACAAGTTCCCAGGACCAGATGGGATCTATCCCAGGTTACTGAGGGAAGCGAGAGAGGAAATAGCTAGGGCCTTAACAGATATCTTTGCAGCATCCTTGAGCACTGGTGAGGTCCCAGAGGACTGGAGAATTGCTAATGTTGTCCCCTTGTTTAAGGAGGGTAGCCATGATAATCCAGGTAATTCTGGATGGGTGAGCCTGACGTCACTGGGGAAGCTGCTGGAAAAGATACTGAGGGATAGGATCTATTTGCATTTGGAAGAAAATGGGCTTATTAGTGATAGGCAGCATGGTTTTGTGCAGGGAAGGTCATGTCTTACCATCGTGATAGAATTCTTTAAGGAAGAGACAATGTTGATAAATGAAGGAAGGGCTGTAGATGTCATATACATGGACTTCAGTAAGGCATTTGATAAGGTTCCCCATGGTAGGCTGATGGAGAAAATGAAGTCGCATGGGGTCCAGGGTGTACTAGCTGGATGGATAGAGAACTGGCAGGGCAACAGGAGACAGAGAGTAGTAGTGGAAGGGAGTTTCTCAAAATGGAGAACTGTGACCAGTGGTGTTCCACAGGGATCCGTGTTGGGACCACTGTTGTTTGCGATATACATAAATGATCTGGAGGAAGGTCTGATTAGCACTAAGATGACACTAAGATTGGTGGAGTAGCAGATAGTAAAGGGGACTGTCGGAGAATGCAGAAGAATATAGATAGATTGGAGAGTTGGGCGGAGAAATGGCAGATGGAGTTCAATCCAGGCAAATGCGAGGTGATGCATTTTGGAAGATCCAATTCAAGAGCGAACTATACGGTAAATGGAAAAGCCCTGGGGAAAATTGATGCACAGAGATCTGGGTGTTCAGGTCCATTGTACCCTGAAGGTGGCAACACAGGTGGATAGAGTGGTCAAGAAGGCATACAGCATGCTTTCATTCATCGGACGGGGTATTGAGTAGAAGAGTTGGCAGGTCATGGTACAGTCGTATAGGACTTTCGTTCGATCACATTTGGAATACTGCGTACAGTTCTGGTCGCAACATTACCAAAAGGTTGTGGACGCTTTGGAGAGGGTGCAGAGGAGGTTCACCAGGATGTTGCCTGGTATGGAGGGCGCTAGCTATGAAGAGAGGTTGAGTAGATTAGGATTATTTACATTAGAAAGATGGAGGTTAAGGGGGGACCTGATTGAGGTCTACAAAATCATGAGGTATAGACAGGGTGGGTAGCAAGAAGCTTTTTCCCCCAGAGTGGGGGACTCAATTACTTGGGGTCACGATTTCAAGGTGTGAGGGGAAAAGTTTAAGGGAGACATGCGTGGAAAGTTCTTTACGCAGAGGGTGGTGGGTGCCTGGAACGCGTGGCCAGCGGAGGTGGTAGAAGCAGGCACGATAACGTCATTTAAGATGTATCTAGACAGATACATGAATGGACAGGGAGTAGAGGGATACAGATCCTTGGAAAATAGGCGACATGTTTAGATAGAAGATCTGGATCGGTGCAGGCTTGGAGGGCCGAAGGGCCTGTTCCTGTGCTGTAATTTTCTTTGTTCTTTGTACCTTCACTGCATGAACCTTGGTGATTTAACAAAGTAGCTTACCACAATGAGCAATTAGGATGGTTGATGCATTTTGACCTTCTGTAACTCTCACATTCCACGAATAAATTAAAGATACCTTTTGTAAATCTGCGATGATTACGCCAAATTGGTGATCACAGAGCATCTTCCAGAGAGTTAGAGTCTGACAGGTGTAATGGATCAGCTGCTGTATACCCTGCAGTGACAGCTTCTCATAAGCCTGTGCTTCGGCTAAGGGAAAAACCAGCAGGTTAGTCCCGAGGTCAGGTTTGAAGCTTGCAAAGTTCAGAAATTAATTATATCACACAATCACAGGTGTACACACAGAAACATGAGCAGGCTATTCAGCCGATTAAACCTGCTCTGCCATTCAACACTATCATAGATGATCGAACCCTTCAGTGCCTTTATTCACCCCATCTAACTGGTAATCAGAAATCAATCTCCACTTAAAACATGCTCAGAGTTTCCACAGCTCCATGGCAGAGAATTCCAAAGATTCACAAGCTTGAGTTGAAAAAAATTTTCATCCCCAACTTAAGTGATACGCCCTTATTTTTAAATTATGTTCCCTGGCTCTAAACCTCCATGGGAGAAGAACTGTGATATACTCAAAATTATAGACAGAGAGGAGGCTCTGAGTGGTCTAGCAGGCTTACTATTTAGTAAATGGAGAAAAATGTGAGAAAGCTGCAAAACAAAGGGCCTTGGGAAAATTTGTGGATGAATCACAGAAAGCTGGCACATGGTGCAGCAGGTAATCAGCAAGGCTAATGGAATGCTGACCTTTATTTCAAGGGGGTTGGAGTATAAGACTAAGGAAGCCACTCCAACTGTACGAGGTGCTGTTGAGACCACATCTGCAGTAATGTGAGGAAATTTGGTTCACTTATTTTAGGTAAGATATTATTTCAAGGAGGCAGTATAGAGAAGGTTCACTAGGATAATGCCTTACATAGACAGATTGTCTTAAGAGCTAAGGCTAAACAGGCTGGGAATCTATTCAACAGAGTTGAGATGAATGAGAGGTGGTCTCATTAGAACATAGAGGATTCTTAAGAGGCTTGACATTGTAAATGCTGACAGAATGCTGGGGGAAATGATGGCCTAGTGGTATTATTGCTGACCTGTTAATCCAGAGACTCAGGCAATGTTCTGAGGACCTGGGTTCAAATCCTGCCTGGGCAGATGGCGGAATTTAAATTCAATAAAAATCTAGAGTTAAGAGTCTAATGATGGCTGTAGAATCCATTGTCGATTGCCAAAAAAACCCACCTATTTTATTTCTGAAGAGGGGTCTAGGCCCGAAACGTCAGCTTCCATGCTCCTCTGATGCTGCTTGGCCTGCTGTGTTCATCCAGCTCTACAGCTTGTGATCTCACCTATTTCACAAATGTGTTTTAGGGAAGGAAACTGCCATCCCTACCTGATGTGGCCTACAGGTGATTCCAGACCCACGGCAATGTGGATGACTCTGAACTGCCCTCTGGGCAATTAGAGATGGGGAATAAATGCTAGCCGTGCCAGCAACACCCTCATCCTGCAAGTGAAAAAAAGTCTCCCTCAGAGTCTCAGAATAAAGGGATACAAATCTAAGACCGAGATAAGAAACAATTTCATCTCTCAGAGATTTGAGTCTTTGGAACTCCTGGCCACAAAGAGTTGTGTGGGCACAGTCCTTGTGTACATTTAAGGCTGAAATAGATAGATTCTTGGGTAGTAGGGGAAACGAGGGTTGTGGGTAAAATTCAGAAAGTGGGTGTGAGGAATGTCAAATCAGCCATGATCTTCTTGAATTGCGGAGCAGGCTCAAGGGGCCAAATGGCCTACTTCTGTATCCATTTCTTATACAGCCATACAATTATACAGTATAGAAACAGGACCTTCGGCCCAGCATGTCTATGCCAACCAACAAACACCGAACTATACTAATCCTACTTACATTTATTTGGTCCATAACTGATAATGTCCCGGCATTTTAAGTGCTCGTCCAGATGCTTCTTAAATGTTGCAAGAGTACCTGCCTCCACCACCCTATCAGGCAGTCCATTCCACATTTCTTCCATGCTCTGGGCGGAAAAACTTTTCCTCAGATTTTCTCTAAACCGCTTACTCCTCATCTTAAAACTTACATCCTCTGGTCTGATAAATCTCTTTTAGCCAGGCGAAACATATCCCAAGCTTTTGAGCGAAGCAAGAGAGGAACTTTCAGGAGTACTGACAGTAATTTTCAATTCCTCTCTGGCCACAGAAAAGGGGCCAAAGGACTGGAGGACAGCCATTATGGCACTACTATTCAAGAAAGGTACAAAGGATAAATCTGGAAACAATAGGCCAGTCAATCTAACCTCAGTGGTGGGGAAACTACTGGAAACAATTCTGACACACAGAATTAATCTGCACTTGAACAGGCAGGGAATAATCAAGAATAGCCACCATGGGAGGTCATGGACGACCAACTTGATTTAATTTTCCAAAGAGGTGGCCAGATGTCTAGATGAGGACAATGCATTCAACATAGTCTACGTGGACTTCCACAGACTTTTGATCAGATCCCACGTAAGGGACTGATGGTGAAGCCAAGAGCCCATGTGATCCAAGGAAATCTGGCTACTTGGATCCATCATTAGGTGATCAGCAGGAAACAGAGGGTGATGGTCAAGTGGTATTTGTGTGACTGGAAGCCTGTGTACAATGGGGTATGATAGTGATCAGTGTCAGGGTCCTTGCTGTGGTCTATATAAATGATTAGAACTTGAATGTAGGATGGTTGATCACTAAGTTTGCAAATGATATAAAACTTGGCAGGGTAATAAATAGGAGGACAGCCTTATATGACAGAAGGATATAGATGGGCTTGTCAGATTGGTAATCTGTGATAAATGGAATTTAATCTGAATAAGAGGGAGGTGATGCACTTGGGCAGGACAAGCAGTCTAAGGAATACATGACAAACGTTAGGACCCTGGGAAGCACTGAGGAATACAGGGACCTTGGTAAGCACATTCACTGGTCCTTCAAAATAGCGGGACAGATAGATGAAGTGATTACATCAAATAGGATACTCGCCTTTATCAGCCAAGGCCTGGACTTCAAGAGCAGGGAGGATTATGATGGAACTTAGCTAATGTTCTGGGGACCTGGGTTCAAATCACACCACAGCAGATGGTGGAATTTGAATTCAATAAAAAATGTCTGGAATTAAACATCTAATGGTGATGATGAAACCACTGCTGATTGTCAGTAAAAACAATCTGATTCAATAATGCCCTTTAGGGAAGGAAAACTGCCATCCTCACCCAGTCTGGCCTACATGTGATTTCAGATCCACAGCAATGCTGTTGACTCTTAATTCCCCTCTGAAGTGGCCCAGCAAGCCAGAGTTGTAACAATTGCAACCAAGTCACTACAAAGAAATGAAACCGGCTGGACTAACTGACATCAAACCCGGCACTGGAAAAGACAACACAAGAAATAGCCTTGATGATCCTGCAAAGTCCTCCTTACTAACATCTGTGGATTAGTACCAAAACTGGGAGTGTTGTCTCACAGCTTACTCAAGCAATAACATGAAGTAGTCATAATCATGGAATTATGTCTTACAGACAACTCGCTGGAGAAAGTGGTTCCACAAATATCCTCATCTGTAACGATAGGGGAGCTCAACACATTAGCGCAAAACATAAGGCTGAAGCACTCGCAACAATCTCTAGTCAGAGAGCTGAGCAGGTGATCCATCTTGGCCTCAGCTAGAGGTGTCCAGCATCACAAATACCAGGCTTCAGACAATTTGATTCACTCCAATGTGATAACAAGAAACGGTTAGAGAAGGTAGATACTAAAAAGTCTATGGGCCTTGACAACACTCCAACAACGGCACTGAAGATTTGTCCAACCTGGCCAATTGCTGCCTGATCAGTTTACTATTGATCCTCAGAAGTGTTGGAACTATCAAGTAGCATCTGCTTAGCGACACCCAGTTTGGGTACAGTCAAGGTGCCTCAGCTCTTGACCTCATTAACAGCCTTGATTCAAACATGGGCACAAGAGCTGAATTCCCAGAGGACAGGTGACCGTGACTATCCTTAAAATCATAGTTGTATTGGACCAAATATGGCCTCAACAAAACTGGAGTCATTTCTGTGATGAGTAGTGCATGAGTATGGATAATATTCTTACTGCATTTGACTGAATGTGGCATCCAGGACCCCTACCAAAACTGTGGTCAATGGGAATCAGAGGCCAAAGACTCCGTTGATTGGAATCAAAGAGCTTGGTGCATTAGAAGACAGTTGTCGTTTTGGAGGTCTGTCATGTCGGCTCCAAGAAATCTATGCAGGAGTTCCTCAGGGTAGTGTCCTAGGCCTAACTATCTTCAGCTGCTTCAAAAATGACCTTCCTCCATCATAAAGTCAAATATGAGGATGTCTAGTGAGGATTGTGCAATGTTCAGCAACATTCACGACTCCTCAGACACTAAAGCATTCTATGTCCAAATGCAGCAAGGCCTAAACAATATCCAGGCTTGGACTGAAAAGTAGCAAGTGAAATTCACACTGTACATGTGCTGGGCAATGACCATCTCTATTATCAGTCCTATTCTGGCCCCCACCAATAACTCTGTCTCCGAAATATCGAAGATATCATCAGTGCTGCTTCCCCCTCTCTCTGGAATTGGAAATGTTCATTGATTTCGCTTCCAATTTCCACCCTGTCCTCAATTTCACCTGATCTATCGCTTGACTCCTCCCTTCCCTTCCTTGACATTCCTGTTTCTATTTCTGGGGATAGGCTGGCCACTAATATCCACTATGAACCCACCAACTCCCACAGCTACGTGGACTATACATCCTCACAACCCCACATCCTGTTTTCCTGTAAAGACTCTATTCCATTCTCCGAGTTCCTCTGTCTCCATCACATATGTTCTAATGAGGTCAACTTCGACAAGGGAGCCTCCAAAATGTCCACCTTCTTCCTCAACTATAGATTCCCCAGCACTGTTGTCAACAAGGCCCCCAACCTGGTCCGACTCATCTCCTGCAAAAAAATACAGCAGTAGGGTTCCCCTTGTCCTTACCTATCAACCCACCAGCATCTACATCCAGAAGATCATCAGACGCCATTTCTCCCACTTCCAGCAAGATGCTACCACCAGACACATATTCCCCTTCCCTCCCTTGTCTGCCTTCCACAGGGACCGTTCCCTCCTGGACACCCTAGTCCACTCTTCCTTCACCCCCAACACTGCCCCACAGCCCCAGGGCACCTACCACTGCAACCCCCCACAGGTGTAACACTTCCTTATTTAATACCTCCCTCCTCATTATCCAAGGGCCCTAACATGCATTCCAGGTGAAGCAGTCCTTTACCTGCAGTTCTCATAATCTGGTCTACAATAAGTTAAAAGAGAAGTCGTTGAAGGGGAGGACGAGCTCGGCCAAGTGAAGGAGGGTGGTTGTGGTTCAGGCCTTTGCTCCAGGAAGAAGTGGACAGTCCCGACACCATCCTGGTGGGGATGCACAGGTAAGGGGATTGCACGTCCATGGCAAAGAAAAGGTGGCTGGAGCCTGCAAACTGAAAATTCCGAAACTGGCATAAAGCGTCAGAGGAATCACGGATGTACATGGGCAAGGACTGGATCAGGGGAGAAAAGACTGAGCCAAGGTAGGAAGAGATGAGTTCTTTGGGGGCAGGAACAGGCTGAAACAATTGGTCTGCCTGAGCGGTCCTGACAGTCTCCATTAACAGCTATTCACCCTCCTAGCCAGATTGTTATCAATTCCTTTATCTGTCCAACTGTTCTTCTCTCTCTTTGTGCTCTGTCTCTGCTCTGGCTGGGCAACAGGAGACAGAGAGTTGTAGTGGAAGGGAGTTTCTCAAAATGGAGAACTGTGACCAGTGGTGTTCCACAGGGATCAGTGTTAGGACCACTGTTGTTTGTGATATATATAAATGATCTGGTGGAAGGTATAGATGGTCTGATTAGCAAGTTTGCAGACGACACTAAGATTGGTGGAGTAGCAGATAGTGAAAGGGACTGTCGGAGAATGCAGAAGAATATAGATAGATTGGAGAGTTGGGCGGAGAAATGGCACATGGAATTCAATCCAGGCAAATGCGAGGTGATGCATTTTGGAAGATCCAATTCAAGAGCGAACTATATGGTAAATGGAAAAGCCCTGGGGAAAACTGATGCACAGAAAGATCTGGGTTTTCAGGTCCATTGTACCCTGAAGGTGGTAACGCAGGTGGACAGAGTGGTCAAGAAGGCATACGGCATGCTTTCACTCATCGGACGGGGTATTGAGTACAAGAGTTGGCAGGTCATGTTACAGTTGTATAGGACTTTGGTTCGACCACATTTGGAATACTGCGTACAGTTCTGGTTGCCACATTACCAGAAGGATGTGGATGCTTTGGAGAGGGTGCAGAGGAAGTTCACCAGGATGTTGCCTGATATGGAGGGCGCTAGCTATGAAGAGAGGTTGAGTAGATTAGGATTATTTACATTAGAAAGACGGAGGTTAAGGGGGGACCTGTTTGAGGTCTACAAAATCATGAGAAGTATAGACAGGGTGGATAGCAAGAAGCTTTTTCCCAGAGTGGGGAACTCAGTTACTAGGGGACACGATTTCAAGGTGAGAGGGGAGAAGTTTAAGGGAGATATGCGTGGAAAGTTCTTTACACAGAGGGTGGTGGGTGCCTGGAACGCATTGCCAGCGGAGGTGGTAGAGGCGGCACAATAGCGTCACTTAAGATGTATCTAGACACATACATGAATGGGCAGGGAGCAGAGGGATACAGATCCTTGGAAAATAGGCAACAGGTTTAGATAGAGGATCTGGATTGGCGCAGGCTTGGAGGGCGGAAGGGCCTGTTCCTGTGCTGTAATTTTCTTTGTTCTTTGTCCTTATCTATTGTTTATTCCTTACCCCTCCTCCCACCCTATCTTCTGCATATAAACCAACGTATTCCTAGCTACCATTAGTTCTGAGGAAGGGTCGCCAGACCCAAAACATTAACTTTGATTTCTCTTCACAGATGCTGCCAGACCTGTTGAGCTTTTCCAGCAACTTCTGTTTTTATTTATGATTTGCAGCATCTGCAGTTCTTTCATTTTTATTTAGTACCAACATGGATATGAATCTGGCTCAGTGAGAGGAAACAAAGTTGGGCTTGAAGAAGGTTTCACAGTATCTCGGATTTGTTACAGGGCAGGGGGAGGATATTTGGCCCATTGTGCCTGCTCTGCTTCTATCTCCTAGTGTTAATTTCCTGTTTCTCCCCCTTATCCCTCACACCATTTGTACCTAAATAACCATCCAATGCTCTCTGGAATGCCTCAGTTGAACCGGCCTCCATCATATTTCCAGGCTTGGTAGCTTGGCTACCATTTACTATTACTTTTAGAGGAGCTACAATTTAAGAACAAGTTAATTGAAACATGCAGTGCAAATCATAACTCGAGTTTGAAACAATATCAACCCTTAAAAAACCTTCACTTATCAAATTTTGCAAGAACTCTTTCAAAGTTTGTAGTGGAGCTCCACAAAAGTCGGTGTTAGGACACACTCAGTTTAAAATCTCCCTCTTATTTGTGGCCAATTTTTTGCTGGTTTTTAAAAATTTCAAAGCCTCAGATTTATCACTAAGCTTTGCCACGTTGCACAGTTTTACTTCAATTTGATACAATCTAAACTGCCTTGGTTGTTTGGTTAATTCCCTTTGCCGAATGGGATATATCTCTGCTGCAAGTCATAAAGTCATACAGTACGAAAACAACTAGTCCATGCTGAACATGTTCCTAAACTGAACTCGTCCCACCTGCCTATGCTTGGCCCACATTCCCCCTCCATACCTTTCCTATTCATGACCTCATCCATGTTGTCTTTTAAACGTTGTAAGTGTACCAGCATCCACCATTTTCTCTGGCAGTTCACGCCACACACGAACCACTCAGTGTGTAAAAAATTGCCCCTTATATCCTTTTAAAATCTTTCTTCTCTCACCTTAAAAATATGCTCCCTAGTTTTGAACTCCCCGACTTGAGGGAGTGTCATTGAACTTATCCATGCCCCTCATGATTTTATAAATCTCAATAAGGACACGCCCTCAACCTCCTTTGCTCCAGTGAAAGAAGTCCCAGTCTTTCCAGTCTATTTTTACATCTCAAACCTTCCATTCCTGGCAACATCCTGGTAAATCTTTTCTGAATCTTGTTCAGTTTAGTAATATCCATCTTACAACAGGGCGACCAGAACTGCACACAGTACTCCAGAAGAGGTCTCACCAACCTCCTGTACAACCTCAACATGATGTACCAACTCCTGTACTCAAAGGTCTGACGAATGAAGACAAGCGTACTAAATGCCTTCTTCACCACCCTGTCTATCTGTGACACAAATTTCAAAGAATTACGTACCTGAAACCCTAGGTCTCTCTGTTCTACAATACTGCCCAGGGCCCTACTATTAATTGCGTAAGTCCTGTCATGAACTATTTCTGAAACATCTGCTATCTTTCATTAACCATCTTTTCAACTAAAATCTTTCAGTCCACACCAGCCAACTATGCTATCATTCCTTGTTAATTACCCTTAAGTTCAGCACAGTTGTTTCCAACTCATCTGTGCTGTGACCATTTGGTGATTGCAGTTCAGGTGAATCTGTAAGCTACTCACTGTGGTACTTCCTTTGTAACTCCTGTTGAACTTGCTGTGAACCTCCATCAGGACGTATGAAACCCAGCAGCCTCTGTGGTACATTGGAAGCACTAAAACTGGAAAAGTAGATGTTAGCCAGTTCAGAAAACCAATAGTGTCAGCATGGGATAACACTCTGACCAGACAGCATGGGGTAACAATCACTGACCAGATAGTGTAACACTCACCATAAGACGTAGGAGTAAAAATAAGTCATTCAGCCCATCATAGAACATAGAACATAGAACATTACAGCGCAGTACAGGCCCTTCGGCCCTCGATGTTGCGCCGACCTGTGAAACCAATCTGAAGCCCATCTAACCTAAACTATTCCATTATCATCCATATGTTTATCCAATGACCATTTAAATGCCCTTAAAGTTGGCGAGTCTACTATCTTTGCAGGCAGGGCATTCCACGCCCTTACTACTCTCTGAGTAAAGAACCTACCTCTGACATCTGTCCTATATCTATCGCCCCTCAATTTAAAGCTATGTCCCCTCGTGCTAGCCATCACCATCCGAGGAAAAAGGCTCCCACTGTCCACCCTATCTAATCCTCTGATCAGCTGGGCTGAGAGGTGGCAAATGGAGTTTAATGCGGAAAAGTGTGAGGTGATTCACTTGGGGAGGAATAACAGGAATACAGAGTACTGGGCTAATGGTAAGATTCTTGGTAGTGTGAATGAGCAGAAAGATCTCGGTGTCCATGTGCATAGATCACTGAAAGTTGCCACCCAGGTTGATAGCGTTGTTAAGAAGGCGTACAGTATTTTAGGTTTTATTGGTAGAGGGATTGAGTTTCGGAGCCATGAGGTCACGTTGCAGCTGTACAAAACTCTGGTGCGGCCGCACTTGGAGTATTGCGTACAGTTCTGGTCACCGCATTATAGGAAGGATGTGGAAACATTGGAAAGGGCGCAGAGGAGATTTACCAGGATGTTGCCTGGTATGGAGGGAAGGTCTTATGAGAAAAGGCTGAGGGACTTGAGGTTGTTTTCGTTAGAGAGAAGTTGGTTAAGAGGTGACTTGATAGAGACATACAAGATGATCAGAGGATTAGATAGGGTGGACAGTGGGAGCCTTTTTCCTCGGATGGTGATGGCTAGCACGAGGGGACATAGCTTTAAATTGAGGGGTGATAGATATAGGACAGATGTCAGAGGTAGGTTCTTTACTCAGAGAGTAGTAAGGGCGTGGAATGCCCTGCCTGCAAAAATAGTAGACTCGCCCACTTTAAGGGCATTTAAATGGTCATTGGATAAACATATGGATGATAATGGAATAGTTTAGGTTAGATGGGCTTCAGATTGGTTTCACAGGTCGGCGCAACATCGAGGGCCGAAGGGCCTGTACTGCGCTGTAATGTTCTATGTTCTATCTTGTATGTCTCTATCAAGTCACCTCTTAACCTTCTTCTCTCTAACGAAAACAGCCTCAAGACCCTCAGCCTTTCCTCATAAGACCTTCCCTCCATACCAGGCAACATCCTGGTAAATCTCCTCTGCACCCTTTCCAATGTTTCCACATCCTTCCCATAATGCGGTGACCAGAACTGTACGCAATACTCCAAGTGCGGCCGCACCAAAGTTTTGTACAGCTGCAACATGACCTCATGGCTCCGAAACTCAATCCCTCTACCAATAAAACCTAACATACTGTACGCCTTCTTAACAACGCTATCAGCCTGGGTGCCAACTTTCAGTGATCTATGCACCAGTTCTTTGAGAAGGTGACCAAACAGGTGGATGAGGGTAAAGCGGTTGATGTGGTGTATATGGATTTCAGTAAAGCGTTTGATAAGGTTCCCCATGGTAGGCTATTGCAGAAAATACGGAGGCATGGGATTGAGGGTGATTTGGCGGTTTGGATCAGAAATTGGCTAGCTGCAAGAAGACAGAGGGTGGTGGTTGATGGGAAATGTTCATCCTGGAGTTCAGTTACTAGTGGTGTACCTCAAGGATCTGTTTTGGGGCCACTGCTGTTTGTCATTTTTATAAATGACCTGGATGAGGGCGTAGAAGGTGCAGGGCTGGATGAACACAGCAGGCCAAGCAGCATCATAGCCTCTCTGCTCCTATGATGCTGCTTGGCCTGCTGTGTTCATCCAGCCCTGCACCTTGTTGTCTCGGATTCTCCAGCATCTGCAGTTCCTACTATCTCTGAGGGCGTAGAAGGATGGGTTAGTAAATTTGCGGATGACACCAAAGTCGGTGGAGTTGTGGATAGTGCGGAAGGATGTTGCAGGTTACAGAGGGATATAGATAAGCTGCAGAGCTGGGCTGAGAGGTGGCAAATGGAGTTTAATGCGGAAAAGTGTGAGGTGATTCACTTTGGAAGGAGTAACAGGAATACAGAGTACTGGGCTAATGGTAAGATTCTTGGTAGTGTGGATTCTGTTCTGCCATTCAACAAGATCATGGAAGATCTGATAATCCTCAAATTTCACTTTCCTGCTTCTTTCCAATAATCCTTGATTCCCTGACTGATTAACAATCTGTCCATCTCAGCCTCAACAGCTCTGCGCAATAAAGAATGCCACTGATTCACAGATTGCAGACACCAATTTGACACCATGGGACAATACTCATACAACATAGAACATAGAACAGTACAGCACAGTACAGGCCCTTCAGCCCACGATGTATCGAAATTTTACCGTAATCCTAAGGTCTATCTAACCTCCACCCCTACCTTATACTATCATCCATATGCCTATCTAATAGCCGCTTAAATGCCCCTAATGAGGCTGACTCCACTACCCTCTCCGGCAATGCATTCCACGCCCCAACCACTCTCTGAGTAAAGAACCTACCTCTGACGTCTCCCCTATATATCTACCTCCACTCACTTTAAAACTATGCCCCCTCATAATAGCTACCTCCACCCTAGGAAAATGTCTCTGGCTTTCCACTCTATCTATACCTCTGATCATTTTGTACACCTCTATCAAGTCATCTCTCATCCTTCGTCGTTCTTAAGAGAAAAGCCCGAGCTCTCTCAACCTTTCCTTGTAAGATCTTCCCTCCATTCCAGGCAACATCCTGGTAAATCTCATCTGCACCTTTTTCAACGCTTCCACATCTTTCCTGGAATGAGGTGACCAGAACTGGACACAATACTCCAGATGTGGCCGAACCAGGCTTTTGTCTCGCTGGAGCATAACTTCACGGCTCTTGAACTCAATCCTTCCATTAATGAAAGCTAACACACCATACGCCTTCTTAACAACTCTATCCACCTGGGTGGCAGCTTTCAGGGAACTGTGGACATGAACCCCAAGATCCCTCTGCTCCTCCACACTGCCAAGAATCTTTCCATTAACCCTGTATTCTGCTTTCAAGATTGTCCTTCCAAAATGAATCATCTCACACTTTTCAGGGTTAAACTCCACCTGCCACTTCTCAGCCCAGCTTTGCATCCTATCAATGTCCCTTTGTAATTTAGAACAGCCCTCCGCACTATCCACAACTTGACCCACCTTCGTATCGTCCGCGAACTTACTGATCCACGCTTCCACTCCTACATCCAAATCATTTACAAAAATCACAAATAGAAGAGGACGCAGAACAGATCCTTGTGGTACACCACGCGTAACTGAGCACCATGTTGAATATTTTCCGTCCACTACCATCCTTTGTCTTCTAAGGGCCAGCCAATTCTGAATCCAATCTGCCACATTAAAGGGTCAGCCAATTCTGAATCCAATCTGCCACATTTCCCCCTATCCCATGCCTCCTTACTTTCTGCATGAGCCTACCATAGCGAACCTTATCAAATGCCTTACTTAAATCCATGTATACCACATCCACTGCTGTACCTTCATCCATGTGTTTGGTCACCTCTTCAAAGAATTCAGTAAGCTTTGTGAGGCATGATCTACCCCTCACAAATCCATGCTGACTATCACAAATCAAACTGTGCCTTTCCAAGTGATCATAAATCCTACCTCTCAGAGCCCTTTCCAATAATTTGCCCACCACTGACGTAAGACTAACTGGCCTGTAATTTCCAGGGTTATCCCTATTCCCTTTTTTGAACAAGGGAATGACGTTTGCCTCTCTCCAATCTTCCGGCACTATACCTGTGAACAGTGAGGATGAAAAGATCATCGCCAAAGGCCCTGCGATCTCTTTCCTCCTTCCCATAGAATCCTTGGATAAATCCCATCAGGCCCGGGGGACTT